AATGATTAGACGAAGCAACGGAGCAACGAAGCAAAAGGAATCCATCCAACATGTTTTGTTAAACACCGATGTTACAAATTATAATTGTTACTCTCCATTTAAATTATTTGTTCATAACACAAAAATATTGTTAATTTGTAATTCGTTATTTTATAAAATACATCTGTATTATTACATATGCGTACTGTAAATTTATAAATATTTCAAGTTTTGTTCGATAAAAATTATTGAGAAGATAACAATGAAATAAAAATTTTTATTTTGTAATGTATTATTGCATTATTATAGTATTATTCTACCTATTATAAAATGTACTATTTACATTAAAAGGATCGGTGTGATATACTTGCTTCAATAAATCTGAGCGCGCGACTTCGACAATCGGTAACGCACCGTCAGTTGTCCACAATGATCGAAATGTACTGGGTTTTCTCGACATAAAATCTGAACAGCGTGATCGCGCTGCTTGGGACTCAAACGGTTAAGAAAAATCCAGTCAAGCCAGGCGTTAAAGCCCGGCGTACCGACAGAATCTCAGTCAATCCAGAACATAAGCCCGGCGTACTGACAAACTCGCGAAGTCCAGCGTACAAGAGATAGTGCCACTATCGGCGGTGGACCGTACGAAGGCCAAAAGCTGTACGAAGGCAATCTCTGATCGTCTCCGCGGGCACTCTTATATGCCCTGGGCAGCTCGAACTCGCGTGCGAGCCGAGGGGCTCGTGCGCGCGACAACCCAGATCGCCGCGTCGCGGCGGCTCCGTGGACTAGGAGCGCCAGGGAATTTCGACGTTCAGGTGGCGTCCAGCGACTCGGCATCCCGCGCGCCGGGTCACCGCGAACTCAGGCGCGATCCTGAACAGCATATTCAAGCTGTGTACCATAATGGCCAATCGTACGGAGAAGATAGAGAGCTAGGGACAGCTTCGCGAATTAAAGTGTATACCACAGTGATCATGCGTAACTGAAGGGTAAAGAATGATAACTTTTGATAAAAATTAAATTTCCAATTCGCAAAATTGTGTAAATTATTGTATAGAGAATAATGAACGCGGCTATTGAAATTATGAAAGAGCCAAACGAACTGCAGAGCTTCTTAGCCCCTTAAGCCTCGCTGAATCGACATTTGTTGCAAATTCGAAATTGAATATCTCGACACCTAAATATCCTAGCAGCAAATTTCAAAAACGGTTTGAAAGCTTTGAAACCGTACTTTTCGAAAGATCTATCGAAATTGTGCGCAACGATATTTTTTCAAAATGGCGGGTGATAAAAAGGAGAACATGAAAAGTTGCTAAAAAAAGGTTCGAGCGTGCGACGGCGCATGGAGCAAAGTAAGTGTCGCAGCTCAATGGGACGAAAAGTACCTAAAAGTATAGAATGTTTTCTTTAAAATACTTCGTTATAGAGCTTGATGCGATACTTATTCACTGAATTATGCAAATTTAACAAGAAAACCGCATTTTTAGCAAAATTTGGAACAACTCAGTGAAAAATGATCACATCGAGCTCGGTAAAGTAGCATTTTAAAGATAACACTCTATACTTTCATGTACATTTGGTCCCATTACGCTGCGATACCTGATGCACACCATGCACCATCGCAAACACGGACCTTTGATTATCAATTTTGCATCCTCTCACTTTATCATCCGCCATTTTGAAAAAAATGGCCGAACATAATTGCCATTCAGATATTCTTAAAGAGGACGTTTCAAGCTTCATTTTGCATTTCTGCGCATATTTCTATCTTCATTATTTACCAAGTTATGATCATTTGAAATTTTGTAATTTTTTCCCAAATTTTTAGCGTACCGGGTTTTTTGCGTTTGAGTGTATATAATTTGCTTTTATTTTTATTGTACCTCAAGACAATACAAAGTATTTTATGTTTATTCTGTCGAGGGGAGTAATTGTATGTGTTAAAAATTAATTATAAATTATTATAAAACTAATATCAATAACAAAATGTATCTTTCATTTTATTCTTTTACTTTTTGTCCTAAATGAATTAATAACGAAGAGGATGTACTTATTATTTTAGAAGTAACACGAAAATGGCAATTTTTAAATATAATACTATTATAAAAATAAATAAAGAATTCTTTTATATGTTATACTATCTTTATTTTATTAAACATGTACATATTAGTTTATATCTATGTTACAAAAGTATAAAAGATAATAACTTGTAAACTTCTTTAAAATAAAAAATATATTGCATTCCTAGCACAATTAGAACTGTTTTAAGATTTATATGAGTCTTATTGGAAGTCTTTGGCTAATTAAGTCTCTTTTCAGAACACCTGTTGTATCATCTGCAGCAACTTGACGAGGAATATCATTATCTACGTCATTATTTAATAAAACAATGTCAAAATCATCATTTCTTAGTATATAAATATTATGCATGACACAACAAGCAAGTATATAATGAGCAATTAAGTCAGTCCGATTCATGGATAGGTTGTGTAATAAACTTCTAAATCGACCTTTCAAGGTACCAAATGCTCTTTCAATGGCGATTCGTGCTGAAGAATGGCAGAAATTATAATTTTTTTGTCGTTCAGTCAAATGACCATTATCACGATATGGAACCATTAAATTATCATGAATTTTATATGCAGCATCACCAAGTAAATGGGAATTATCAGGAAATTTTTCTAGGTTACCCAATGCATCTTGAATTTCTGACTGATGAAAAACGCGTTGATCATGCACAGAACCTGCATGTCCAATATAGCAGTGCGTGAAACGAGCTTTGTGATCACAGATCCTCTGGAAGAATATTAAGTACGATATATTCAATATATACAATATAGTGTGGAGGATAAATTCTTCCATCTAATATATTAAGTACACATTACAAACTTGTAGCTGAATGGAATGGTGACCTTTCTGATTAACATAGGCTTCTGGATGTATATGTGGAGATGGGATATTGATGTGAGTACCATCGATAGCTCCTATGACTTTAGGGAAGGAACTAATTACTTTAAATCCTGTCCAAACTTCTTGGATAGCGTTGCCTGTTGGCCCTTTAATTAATACTGGTGCTAAATCTGCAAGTATCTTGGTAACTCGACGTGTTGTTAATAAGGCTGTTGATCGACTCACATCAAACTTTTCACATATTGATCTAGGATTAAAAAAATTATGAATGAAAAATGCAACATTACCTTGAGTAGGTCTTATTATTAGATATAATGTACTAACCTGTAAGAATCTGGTGTAGCCATTCGCCAAATAGCAATAAAAAATTGTTTCTCTGGGGAGATCATTCCTTAAAGCTAAGACTCCATGCATGCGGTGAGCTCCGGCAAACGGCTGCGGTGACCAATCAGGAGACAGACGCATGCCGGAGCTTGCCGCAACCGGATTTGCGCCTCCCTCCTGATTGGTCACCGCAGTATTTGCCGCAGCTCACCGCATGCATGGAGTCTTAGCTTAACCCTGGATACTTTCTCTTAAGTTTTGGGGCAATTATCAAGAGTACAAACTCAAAAGTGTCTCTGGATATTCTAGATAAGAAGTGTGTAGAACTAAAATTAGTACAGACATACAGCGTATTCGACTGGATCTGGGTTAACCCATGCTGGGTTACATAAACTCAACTTAGGCCCAGTTCCACAACTTGCTTTAAACTCTGTTTAAAGCAAGTTGTAGAACTGGGCCTTATTAGTCGAACGTATACTATACTATACAGTACATGTTCGACCAATAAGCTGGGTTTATTTAACCCAGCATGGGTGAACCCAAGTCTAGTCGAATATGCTAATAGAAAAATGTAGCTAATTTCTTTCCAATAAATACCGAATATCACTATACTAAACACTTTTTGTTGAAATTTCAAATGACGTTATTGAAAAATTACATTACATTACATTTATGTTATAATTTCTCACTTAACAATGTAAATGTAATAAAATACATATTGCATTTACTTTGCTGCAGTATTTACTGAGCTATCATAAATAAATACATAATGTGAAAGATGTTCACCATTCTATGATGTATGTATAGAACTTTGAAAATTAATTAAAGATAATTTATCATTACCTAAAATGCGACTTAAATTCTTGATCTTTCCACCTAGGTATCACCTCTTCCACATAATTTTGTAGTCTTGGCAGTTTCTTCCGACGTCCTACTTTTAAATTAATGAGTACATCCAACTCTTCGTCATCAGATGATGAAGACTCTATTAATTCATTCAGAACAAAGAGTAAAAGACTTAATAATTTTTTTATTTTTTGGTTATCCATATTTGCACCAACATTAGCTATATTGTAACGATAAATTCATTCAAGTAACGTTCGAGCAGCTCAAAAACGTAAGCTGATTATAGTCTCTCCGAACGCATCTATCAGCGTTAGCGTTTGTTGCGTAATAGCGTGCTTCCCGAATGCACCCTATATGTAATATTGTGTTTGCTGGGATGATTCCTCCTGATGATATATATAAATTTTACTATATTCTGTGTAGTAGCTCAGATATGAACCAAACTATTACAGACAAACCTCGTTACCGAGCGACATCGACGTAGTTGACATCTATTTTCTCAGGGGGCGTGTCAACGTAGTTGACGTCTATTTTCTCAGGGGGCGCGTCGAATTCAAAAAAATTTCTGAACCTTCGCTGATGGCCGCTCTCAGGTTTCTCTCTGATAACGCTGTAAATGCAGCCATGCCCGCTCTCAGGCTTCTCTCTGGTAGTACTGAATGCACCCATTGCTTCCTTTTCTACGAGAGTTATACCCCCACTCTTGAAATTTGGGAGAACGTGCAGTCTAAATATACTATTGGTCTGTTCTTTGTAGCTGCACTGCTGAACTGGTGCAATAAGCTAGAGTGAGAAAACCTATATTTGTCTCACTTTAACTTATCGCACCAGTTCAACAGTGCAGCTACAAAGAACAGACCATTGGTCTGTTCTTTTCAGCTGCACTACTGAACTGGTGCAATAAGTTAAAGTGAGAAAAAATATAGTTGTCTCATTTTAACTTATTGCTAGTTCCGCAGTGCAGCTGAAAAGAACAGACCACATATGTTTATGAACTGAACAGAACTGAACTGCAAATAGACTTAAATGCTGCGTCATGAGTGTATAATGATTGAAAAACAGGATTATATAATTTGAATATATATCGTGGCTTGTGTATTAAAGTCCAAAGTTAACCGCAACAATCTGTTACTGTGAATAGTTATAAGCAGTTCACTTCACAGTTTTCACGATGTTGCATACAATTAAACAAGGTGTCCGTAAATTTAGTACTAATGTAACTAGTTTGATAAACTGCAACCGATTAGAAGGAAAAGTCGCAATCGTGACAGCATCAACAGATGGGTAAATTGAAACAAAATTATTATCTTATATTTTTCTACGATTTGCATAACTTTTTGTTGACTTTAAACAAGTTTTACTTAAAAATATAAAACAAAACATATTATCAAGTAATATAAACCCCTCCCACTTTCTTTGTATCATATCTGGCTTTTCATTTCAAGAAATATATTTATTTGTCAATCTGAAGATTATATACATCATACTTTATTGTATTTATATTGTTTTATCTTTTTACAGCATTGGTTTGTCCATAGCAAGACGTTTAGCACAGGAAGGTGCTAAAGTAATGATTAGCAGTCGTAAGGAATTGAATGTAAAAAATACAGTGGAAAAACTCCAATCTGAAGGATTAGAAGTTGCAGGTACCATCTGCCATGTAGGGAAAACAGAAGATAGGAAAAAGTTATTTGAGAAAGTAAGATACATATATATGTTAATTATAGTAATTATAAATATGGTAATTAATAAGTATTATGATAAATATAGTAATTTTGTTTTATTTCTCAAGAATTTAAATATTTCTTGCACAATATATTTTTTAATGGAAGTCTGTATTATTTTCTATCTAAATTACTAATATATTTTATTATAACATGAGTAATATGAAAAATTATAGACTGTAGCGGATTTTGGAGGTTTAGATATTTTAGTATCGAATGCAGCTGTTAATCCATCAGTTGGAACAGTACTAGATACTACAGAAGAGGTCTGGGACAAAATTTTTGATATCAATGTAAAAAGCACGTATTTACTTATGAAGGAATCCTTGCCATTACTTAAGCAAAGTAAATCACCATCTATTATTATTATATCTTCAATTGCAGGATATCAACCTTTTAATGTGAGTTATTATAAAAGATTTTTGTTTGATTTGATAATTTTTTTCTGTTGGAACATTTTAGCTATGTGATATATAAATTTTAATGTCAATACAACCATCTTTCTCATCCTCCCTGCTTTTTTTCAGTTGCTGGGTGTATATTCTATCAGTAAAACTGCTTTACTTGCATTATGTAAAGCTACTGCAGAAGAACTTGCACCTGATGGGATTCGTGTGAATTGCATTGCGCCAGGATTGATAAAAACTAAATTTTCACGGGCGGTATTTATCTATAAATTTTTTTTTTATTTTAAGATTAGTATTATTTTTAACACATCAGCTTTCATTTTGTTGAAGAAAGATAATATTCTATCTAATATTTTATATGCATTTTATGTAATATTCTATAAATTGTTTTAATTCTCAGATGCATGAAATGGAAGAAGCACATGAAGTTGCTATATCACAAATTAGTATGCGAAGAATAGGGCAACCAGACGAAATCGGAGGTACAGCTGCATTTTTGGCGAGTGATGATGCATCTTATGTTACTGGTGAAGTCATAGTTGTATCTGGTGGAATGAAATCCAGACTTTAAACATTTTTTTTATAATATAAAATTTATATATTTATATTATATTGTCACTTCTTTGACAGTAACGCATGTATGTACTGTGATATATAATAATTGTTATCTTTGTCAATACTATATTTTACATTACTTTTATAACACTTTTATATAAAGTTTTGGGAAGATTCTGTTTTCAATTTTTAAGTGGACATATCTCAGTTGAACTCAAATAATTATACATAAGAATTTGGGAAGAAATAAAATTTAGTTGAAGTATATGGTTTATAAAATATTATAATTCTATCATTCCAATATTCAATAAATTTGCCATTGATATTGTTAACATAAATATTTTACCTTATAGCATATATTTTTTATATCTACGTCTATGATTTGCCATTGAATTCTACTATGTAAATTGATTTTTCATTTTATCTCAACAATAAGTTGAGAGATTTTATTTTCAAAGTTTTTAATTAATGAATATTTAATTTGATTAATGAATATGGAATGAAATTACAACTAATGGAACTATTATTTTATGTTCAAGTAAAGTTAGTCAATAAAGAACTATTTCAATATAAGGTACAGAAATAATCCTTTTAATAATAAAAAATAAATAAAAATGAAATTAAATGAAATTAAAATTATTGACATTTGACAGATTTTGATTTTTGCTCTCCTAACATTGTAGGAAATGGATAAATTTATTCAATAATACATTTAAAGACAGATAATACATTTAAAGAACATTTTTAACTACAGAAAATTGTTCAATCGTTAATATATTATTTCGTTGCTCAACGATACAACTCGTTAAATATTTATGTAATCGACAAAAATAATTCTTGATCTTCATCCGTGGTTATCTTAAGACTTATGCGAAATATTTTAAACACTCGTCTCGCGAATATTAATTACTCCATTTTTGTAAATTCCAAATAAGTATATTACATAACTAATTATACATTTAAATGTCGCGGGTGCTAACATTTATCTCACTGGTTGCGCTTGCAAGAAGACAGCACTACACAGTGATCCAATAGCATCGCGGTGTCACTGGAAAGCGATGTGCGATTGGTACGTAGCTCCGTCTTAGCCGAATATCACCGAGCTCGTGAGATCGTCGCTGGACGTGCCTGTCGGATCCTAAACAATATCCTCTTATCTCGCGAATGTCGCGAACATAAACACGAGAGTTCATTTCGATATGTTCGCCGCGTCGAGTTTATCGTCGCGTTGCGTTTTTTACAAACCGTTTCCGCCATCACGTTGAGCCGCTATGAACGGCTGCGAATCACTCCCCGAGATGATAAACTGCTCAGCGTTGTTTACGAACGGACGTTGCGATCAAGCATGTAACGACGGCCGTCGAACGACACGACCGCCGTCCCGTCGTCGTCGTCATCGTTTGACATCGCGTTCAACGTGAAACGTTCGTCGCGCGATCGACTCGGTCGATCGAGCGAGCGAGCGAACGAGCTTTCGGTCATCTTCGGCGTCGTGGTCGTCACGGGCGCCGATCCTTTCGCTTTTATTTACACGCACGCACGCAGGTAGACAGGCACGCACAGCTACGCTCTTCATGTATAAACATGGCCGTCGTGCTTTATGATAATCGTTCGTGTCGGTTAAAACGGAGAAGTGTCGTGCGCGACTGCGAGTAATATGGATGAAGGACTTCAGTCTCAGAGAAACCCAGGTAAACGACGTTGTAGTGTATACGCTGTGCTTGCCGTAGACGAGTGCGATCCGGTCATCGTTAGAGACTGTTGGTTTGTGTATCGCGCTCATTATCGCCCTGCGTTCATGCGCGCGCTCGCTCATACTCGCAGAATGATTTCCTATTTTTTCATCTTGCCGCGAACGCCAAGATAAGTAAACCTGCTGGTACGTCACGTATCGTTGACTATTATGTAGCATGCCCGTTTCACTCGTTGCTTGCCGCTCGGTCGCGCTCGACTCTTGAGAATGCCCTCGTCCTTATGAGGGAATCGCGTATCGTAATGTTGATCTTTCATCGCGGAGATTTTTTCAAACTCTTGCTTCTCGTATCTGGGTCTTCCAGGAAATTCGTGGGGATTCCTTATCTGCGATAGTTATCAGTACATCCATTTTTATAGTATCGCTCTTAAATCTTGATTCTAGAATAAATATTTAATGATAGTGAGATGGCCTATAATTTTATATCTATAAAAACTGATGATTATAGTGTCTTAAAAAGAACTTATATACATATTAGTTGTTACATAATTGAGATATTTAAAAAATTACAAGTAAAAGAAATATATTTCTTATTTCACAAATAAACAAATTTTTTTATTAATTATAGATTACTCATTTAGTTTTATATTTCTTTATTATATCTTAAATACATATATCTTCATAATGAGCATCAAAACAATATGCATATACAAATTATTATCAGATATATTACATAAGATTGAATAAAATATATACATGTATATTAATTTATTTTAGGCTGTCGTCTGGGTAAGCAATGAATGTACTGCGTATCTTGACACCGTGTGTGTTAAAACGCAGACGTGTAAGAAGTATAGATAGTACCGACGAAAGGGATTCCTGGTTTATGAGAAGACAGCGTGGAGATGCCTCTCACATGATACATAGAATGGGTGCTTCTGCATCATCAAGTGTCACCAGTATAGGTGGAGATTCGGTCCAAGCAGCTAGACTCTCAGCATCAAGCAGCCCAGATCAACATGGCATTGCAGTTAGGTACATTATCAATGTTCTATATAATTTGTAATACTGAATTTATAACATAATGTGTTACCATTTGATTCTCATATATCTCTTTATATTTGTGAAAATATTGTATATAAGTTTCTTATAATTTAATACATTCAAAGGCTTTATTGTTTATTTTTGCTTATATTTAAGTTATATACTCAATATGCTTATGGTTTATTATTTAAAAATTGTGAATGATTGAGATATTATCTAAAGAGTATATATGAGGTTAAACTTCCTAAATATAATAGAAATATCTGTTTATATTAATATATGTTTGTGTATATTATATATGTTAAATTTCATAGTAATATAAAGGCAGAAATATCAAAGTATATGAAAAAGTAGATATATATAAATAATATATAATTTGATTAATATAATTAATGTAAATGTAGTATTTTAAAACATGTATATAAGAAAAATGATTATATTCAAAGATACAAGTTATTGATTCGACCACACATTAAACTTTTTATAGTTGTTTATTTATGTATAGAGAGAAGAAAAAGAAGATGACAGGATTTGCGACATTACGCAAGAAATTCATTAGAAGACGCCGTTCTTCTAAAGCATGTGATCATGGTAGAATTATTAGAGATTTGGTGTATACATGGAGTCATTTGGAAGCAACAGCCTTGTTAGAGGAATATGAGGCACTGGCTGCGTTGAAAGATCTTCATGTTCAAGCTGAATTAGCTAGACCACCAGCTGCCACTTTTAAGCAGGACTTGTCGATGCTGTATGATCACAAGCATTGCTCTGATGTTGATCTTGTATATAGAGGAGCGTGTTTTCCCGTTCATAGGGCTGTGCTTTCTGCCAGATGTCCATATTTTAGAGATTTGTTAGGAGGCTGCCCTGGTATGTATCCATTATTTGAATAAATTTTAATTCAGGAATAAAGTTTCTTGTTTTTCCTGTTGTATCTATTATAGAAGATTCAAAGTACTTGCAAATTTTTATGCATTTATATTTACTTCCTATTTTGAATTTATTTCTTCCCAAAAAGAAAATTATGATTTTACATCGAACAGTTTGACATTTCCTTCATTAAAAAATTGCAGGATACGGTGCTAGGATATGTTTGGAGTTAAGGACTCCACATCTCGAAGTGCCGATGTTCTCAGCGTTGCTGCGGTATCTTTACACCGGTGACATTTGTCCGCACGACGCAACATTAGAAACGAACCTGTTGCGACGACTTGGGGAGGAATTTGGAACTCCAAATCCGCTAGAACATGATCTCAGATATTTGCTCGAATCCGGCGAAAACGCGGACGCCGCTCTCATATTCACCTCAGACGGTGATTATCAAAGACCAGATAGTGGTAGTTCTGAATACGGATTTCGTCCAAAACTGGAACTGCCGTGCCACAAAGCGATACTTTCCGCGCGATCACCTTTCTTCAGGAATTTAATACAAAGACGGACTAGATCAGGCGAGGATCACACGGAAAGAGCGCTTCACATACCTACTAGAATAGTGTTGGATGAAAGTGTAATACCTAAACGATACGCCAGAGTCTTACTACATGCTGTATATTTAGATACTGTTGACTTATCGTTAATAACGAGAACAAGTGGTTGTGGAAACAGTGCTGGTAGTCTGGGTGAGGTAAGTGTTTTGGCATTACCAGAGAAAGGAGGGAGAATATTTCTTTCTCTATGTGATTCAACTTTTGTTATTTGTTTCAATTTTTAGGTTCAAGCTCTAACGCATACAGGTCGAATGCGGCCGAGTCCTTTAGAAGAAGCAATGGAATTGTACCAGATTGGACGGTTTCTCGAGCTTGATATATTATCGCAGGGTTGCGAGGATATTATCTTGGAGTGTCTCACCTTGGAGTCGCTACCAACCGTTCTCAAGTAAATCTTTTGATTATTTGTAAATCTTTCATGGATCTTGAGTGCATTTTAGAATATGCTCTGCAATATGCAAGACGATATTCATGGCAAGAATCCATAACAAAAGATTGCATTGCGCCTACTTTTCCTTTAGTTTAAAATCGGAAATCGATCCTGCCATATTAAAAGTTATATTTTATTGTGCAGATGGGGTAGTCAACCTCACGGATCAGCATGGGTGCACAGACAAGCGTTGCATTATTTAAGAGAGGAATTTCAACCGATCGCTTCGTCCTCAATCCTCCATCAATTAGATCACGCTCATTTAGCAAATGTTTTACAGAGTCATTTTTTACAAGCGAGTGAACTTGAGGTACTGCAGGCAGTACTCAAATGGGGCGAACACGAATTAGTACGTCGAATGGAAGATCGGGAACCCAATTTACTTAGCCACACTGTGCACTCCGTGACGAGGAAGGGCATCAAGAAAAGAGATCTCAGCGATATTGAATTGCGAGAGATACTCAGTGAACTTCTACCTCTTGTCCGAATAGATCATATATTGCCACCGAATAGCGAAGCATTGGCCCAAGTATGTGTTTTCCTTAAGATGTTATTTTTAATTACTTAAAGTTTCTAATACTTCAAATTAACACTTCAGGCCATCAGGAGAGGTTTGGTTTCTACCCCCCCAAGCCACATGATAGGCGATGAAAGAGATAATTTGCGGATGAATGCGTGGATAAGAGGTGGAAAGAAAAACGGATTCTTCGTGAGGCCAAGGTTATTCATGCCGTACTACGAAGAGATTAAGGTAACAATGTGACTTTCCTCAAAATCAGAAATCATACTTATCGATGTTGATGAAATATTTTTGTCTATCAGTCTTTGGTAGAGGAACAGATGGTTCAAGAAGCCGATTTAGTAAGACTGCGAAGACCGCGATATGTAGCGGATATACCAGACGCGCTGTATATGGTTGAGGAGAAACCAAGAGCCATGGGTACCGCCGGTGTTGATGTTCTTGCTGCAGCATTTCCAGGTACTATAACTCAAATTATAGCGCAAGATTATTAAATGTCCTTGAGGGAATGCCAAAGTGGATAACAAATTCCAGAAATATCAATAATGTAGTAATGATATATATACAGGGTGTCCCATTTTAATCTGGCCGGCTGAATAAAATTCGAGGATGATATTTTCCAGAAAAAAATGTCAGACAAATGTTGTTTAGTTCTAAGGGGGACATTTGATGCCATCAACAATTTTGACCTCGAGTGAAGAGTTTAAGGCCATTCAAGGTCAACTTTTTTTTCTTAAATGGGAACCCCTATTTTTCACATCGGCAATCGATTCTAAAAAAAAAATTCGTAAAAAAAAAATGAAACTTTTGTCTGAAGCATTTTTTTTATAACGCAAACTAATTTCACTTATTCAGCCTCCAAAATTGAAATTTTCAAACTTTCTAAATTTTTTACTCGAGAATAGTGGAGTTTGGGGGGAAATTGCAGAAGACAAAAAGTTCTTGGAATGCTGCAAGGAATTCACTAGAATTTTCGCATAGTTGATCTTGCACTTTTTTCCGCCAATGTTTGGAAAAAATCTTTTATCTCATCATGTCCAGTACCTTCGGCATTAGCATCACCCGATGTGCACCACGTGGAGATCGCCGATGGGATTTTACACATCATTGGCCCTGAAAAGGGCCGAACTATGCGAAAATTCGAGTGAATTCCTTGCAGCATTCCAAGAACTTTTTGTCTTCTGCAATTTCCCCCCAAACCCCACCATTCTCGAGTAAAAAATTCAGAAAGTTTGAAAATTTCAATTTTGGAGGCTGAATAAGTGAAATTAGTTTACGTTATAAAAAAAATGCTTCAGACAAAAGTTTCAAGTTTTTTATGTAGAATCGATTGCCGATGTGAAAAATAGGGGTTCCCATTTAAGAAAAAAAAGTTGACCTTGAATGACCTTGAACCCTTCACCCGAGGTCAAAATTGTTGATGGCATCGAATGTCCTTCTTAGAACTGAACAACATTTGTCTGACATTTTTTTCTGGAAAATATCCTCGAATTTTATTCAGCCGGTCGGATTAAAATGGGACACCCTGTGTATATATATATATATACAGATTTGGGTATAGCAGTTTTTTGAATTTTTTATAATAGAACAAACACATTTAATATGTATCAGCTACAACATTTTTGTATCAGGCAAATATTTACGCTGGCAATTTTTAATGTTAATTTGAAAATTTTTATCATCTTTATCATATATTATAATACTGCAATTTACTTTACTTTTGGACATATTTTCATCGTATAAAAAGATTTAATTATTCTGTGCAATCAATATGATGTAAACTTTGCTGAGAAAAAAATCAATATTCCACCAATAAAATTTCCAAATGACGTCCTTCTAAATGGCATCCCTTGTATATCAAATTATAAATTAGAAGTCAACAAAAAACGAAATCGTCAGAGACTTTAAATAATAGTAATATAAGAAGTAAATTAATACGTTACCGTATGCATATACAGTACCAGATTCTGCAACGATGGCCTTGATGCTGAAACGGGAGCAAAAATTGAGGCAGTCACCCAGCTGTCAACGGGCGATAAGCTTGCCGCTTTCTTCGCGACATGAAATTAATCGGCAAGTGCGACTGCGTGTTGTCAGGGAGTTTAATCTACCTGATACTGTAGCCGATCTTCTGGAAGTGAGTATATGTTACTGCTTCCTAGCATGTGCTTCTAATTTTACGGGTAGTTTAAGGTAATTTATAACGTTAATAATAACACCGGTAACGTGTGCGTGCTAACGTATTAAAATTAAAATAGAATGTGTTTCTCAGGAATTTGCACGGAATTATATCTAACGTACGGTTACACATACACATATGTGTAAACATTTATATTTATATGTGTAAATATTTACTATTTTGTTATACATCGTTATACTATTTCGTTATATACTCTTAGATATAATATTTTTTTACAAGCATTTTTATTAATAAGCATACATGAAATATTTCTTTATAATTTACAATACTTAATACACAGAACTTATTATGTTTACTAATAATCTAGAAGAGCATAATCAACGTAAATATTTTAAAGTATTAAAAGTCAAAGTCGATAATGTATATATATGTATATGTGTGTGTTTGTGTTTGTATGTGCTAGATTTGGTAAATTAGATGAAAGCAAAGCTATTTGCGCATATAGTTGGGGGCAAAAAGCACATTGCTGCACATTTTTGTCGACTTGCTTTGGAATAAACAAAAATCAAAATGATCAGATAATTTTCACCCGTTCTAGAACTTATAAAATTAAAAAGTGATTAGACTTCTTCATTGCTGACACTATACAGCAATATATACATATAATGCATCTAAATCTATAAATCTATATAATAAAGATTGCTCATGTATAATGAGATGCCTTCAAAAATGCGGCGATTATTGGCCACATTTTTAGCGTCGTGTGAAAATAGAATTGCATTATTTTTATATTAATATATTATATTAGTATTTCTATCACTAAAACTGATCCTAGGAACTACTGACTTAGCGATCGTATCTGTGTATTGCTAGTTGCAATCCTTATCATCTAATATTGTCTTGTAATATTGTCACCCGTATACTTGTATGTAATATTGTAAACTTGATCTCATTTGAAGAGCTATCTTTTAATTTTTTACTGTTAACGATTTGGTGGATATGGTAGCATTTATTTTGCACTAGACAATCTTTACGATAGGGCTGATTTTATTATATAAATAAACTTTTCTATCAATCAATTCACGAACCACCCTTTTCGATCGAACGTGAACAAAATGTGCAGCAGTTTCCGCTTGTAATTCACGTCATCAATACCACCCGTGAAAATGTCCTTATCTCCATTTAATGTGGATGTTTCCGTGACCGAGCCACGTGCCGCCTGTATCACCTGCACCATCATTATGCATTGGTTGAATTTTTTAGGCGCACTCTGGTTTAAATGCTCTATAAATTTACTTTTGGGAAACAATCCTATATCCACGTTCAACAATTTCAGGTAGTCAATGAAGGAGTTATAATACAAATCAATCATATCGTCAAGATGATCATCCATTACTTCTTCCTGAGAACTCGATATGAGGAAAAATATAAGATCTTTTACGCCGTAGTCATATGCTGTTAATTGGAAATCCACTATCTTCATGTTAATCGGTTTGCCTGACTCGTTATATTTGAATAGCATATTGTTCACCCAGAAGTCGTTGTGTACCAGCGTCCCCCAAGGTTCTTCCGCTGTTTCGACCATGGAATCCGTGGAATAGTGGAATCCGTGTTTGATCGTCTTCTCGATCCTGTCCAGATAAGATTCCGCTTCTGGCATTTTCTTGTAATCCTCGTGCGTTTTTGTCACCATGTCTATCACGCCATTCATCGCATCCTCATTCGAGGAATAATTCAGAACGGGTAGCACCGTTTTTTGGAATAACTCGGGTTTCTTCAGTTTTAAGCCGATCGTTATAGCGTGCAATTTGGCTAGATGACCGATAGCGAAGTCCATGTGTATCTTATCCAGTCCGACAATGCGATCTTGCATGGTGTAATCTTGATCCTTCAGATTCTCTAGAATAATGGCCGCTTGCTCGTCGAAACATTGCGGATCTTTCAAGCCCAATCTACCGGCCACAAATTGGGGCACAATGACGCTCAGTTCCTCCCGGGGAATCCCACTTTCGTCCTGTAACTTCAAAAACTCCGGTGCCACGGCGCTGTAAAAAGTCAATTCCTTCTTGAAAGTTAACGGGCTGTCGAATAAATCCAATAAATATGCCGATCTCGGCGGCAGTTTGACAACTACGTTCAAGGTCCTTTTCTTGTCGTTCTGTTGGGCATTGATATTGATAGCTAATATCACGCTGCCGAAGTTCTCTCCCGGGTCAGTTAATGGCTTCCATTTCATGTTATTTATTTGAAAATCGGGACCGTAAGTTTGCTTCAACAACACCTCTAGATCTTGTATCGGCAGCATGTTATTTGACGTTGGCATTTTCGTCCTAAGACAAGATTTTATAACGATTATTATTCCGAGAAAAAGAATTACTATATATATAATTGATCATATATCATATTTATATATGAACAAACGAGAGAGAGAGAGAGAGAGAGAGAGAGAGAGAGAGAGAGAAAATAAGTTAAAAAACATAGACATACATTACGTATTTGTTGTACAGAATTTGTTGTTTTAGAAAAACTAGAATTTTCTTGAACTTTTCCTTGCGTAAGATGGGTATATTTTATACCTTGTGTATTACATATGTTGAAGAGTGCTCAGGCTGAAATAGAAATTTCTGTTAAAATTTCTGGTCCCTCGTCGCGGAACTTTTGATTGATGACATTAAAAGCGAGAAAACGTTAAAAAATGTTCGTGCTATTTTCAAATAAGAAGGATATTTGTGTAAAAAAAATACTTCAGATTGTTAAAGCATACTTGTAAAATGCTCCGAACATACTGTTTCTTCTTTGGTAGACAATCAACAGCTTTAAAATGACTTCATGCGCACGCACATTATTCTTTATGACTAACAGCATGTTATGGTGAACCTTATATTACATGAATGCTTTTATATATAGTCATTTTACAGTTGTTGATTAATTTTTGAGGAAGAAATATAGTTTTTGGAACATTTCACCAGTGTGCTCTAGCGACCTGAAGTATTCTTTCATAGAAACATCTTTATTCCTTTGGAAATATCTAGAATTTTCTGCAAATCATTCTTGCCTCTGATATCACTATGACTGATTCAATATGACTGCTGACCCAGGAGAATCCAAGAGTCTTGGGTTTATTATATTCTGAATTCTCTTTTATCGTTAAAAATAACTGTAAAAGTGACTTATACATAAGCCTTCTGATTGGCTTTAAGTTACTTTTAGAATCACTTTTAGTAATAAAAAAGAATTCAGGATATAGACTTTAAACTGAAAGCTGTTCAAAGGTAAGAAAAAAATAAAATGTTGCCAGGCACATAGAAAATAATTTTTCTTTCAATTTAGTATTAAGACTACCTAAGCAGTCAAAATTATTGCTTTTGAATGTTTTGTTTTTCTTTATCAAAATTATTAAATTTTATTGCATTTTATATTTTTGATTGACATGGAATAAAACTTAAAAGAATATTAAAGGAATATGCGACATTTTCTTGCCTCTTTTTCTTTGTCTATTTTTTAATTCTTTTTTCTTAATTTATAATTTAATAATTTTCTTTCTACTAGGTGCGCAACTAAGTTTCCGGGTTTTTTTGATCAATGAAAAATGGAAAATTTCAAGAGAAATACAAAAAATGGTTTATTCAAAGTATCATCCCTCGCTAGCTACACATTTTTGCCATCTCTCTGGCAATACATGAATACCGCAATGATAAAACGACGCGTCTTTGGACCGAAACCATTCATCCAACCAATTTTGCACTTCTTCGAAATTGGCCAAGTGTTGCCCAGACAAGCCATGCGCCATCGACCGGAACAAGTGATAATCAGAAGGGGCCAGGTCTGGCGGGTGCGGTAGCAGATCCCATTTCAGCGTTTCGATGGTGTCCTGGACGATGGAAGTGCGATGGCACGGAGCGTTGTCGTGCTGCAATATCACTCGTTCGTGTCTCGTGTCCCATTCTGGCTGTTTTTCGAGCAATGCATGGTTCAAATTGATCAGTTGTTGTCGGTAGCGATGCCCATTACAGTTTCGCCCGGTTTCAGCAGCTCATAGTACACGATTCCTTTCTGGTCCCACCAAACGCAGAACATTGTCTTCTTTCCGAAGCGATTTGGCCATGCCGTCAATGTTGATGCTTCGCCAGGTGAAAGCCATGATTTTTTGCGTTTGGGATTCTCGAAATATATCCACTTCTCATCACCAGTAACAATTCGATGCAGGAAACTCTTTCTTTCATGCCGCAAAAGCAAAATTTCGGAAGTGGCTCTTCGATTTTCCATCTGTTTCTCAGTCACCTCATACGGCACCCATTTTCCTTCCTTTTGAATTTTTTCCATGGCAAATGGTAAACGTTTGGAAATACCTTGGCGAGTCATGTTTAATGCCTCCGCAAGTTGATCTTGTGTTTGCGTATCATCTTCATCCAATAATGCTTGCAGATCGGCGTCCTCAATTGTTTGGTCTTCCGGAGCGCTCCTTGTCCTCAGTGTCGAAATCGCCACTTTTGAAGCATTTAAACCAATCTTCACAGGTAGTTTTCGATGGTGTATGTTCGCCGTAGGCCTCCTCAAGCAAACGACGTGCTTCAGCTGCACTTTTTTTCAAGTTAAAGCAGAAAAGCAAAGCTTCCCGCAAATGCTGTTTATTTGGCACAAAACTCGACATCTTCGTTGTTAGAAAAAATATTTTTGCGTTGCGATATATGTTGGTATTACGACTGGTTATTATTAACAGATGTCCAAGCTATAAAAAAAACACAACTTCAGACATGTATGTCGACTACATGTGTCGTTAGCGCCATTCATGTGTGAAACCCGGAAACTTAGTTGCGCACCTAGTATAATAACATTAATTTTTTTCTTAATTTACATTTTAATAACTTTGATAAAAATAAATATACGCTAATTCGGCACTAGAATTACCGACGTTAAATCATCGGTAATTCTACTGTTAATAAACAATTAAAAATATTGTTAATAAACAATAAACAAGACAAATTATTAATAAAAAAAATTAGTTGAATTTAAAATTTATTTGTTTTGGTATAGTTCATGTAAACTAATGTACACTAATTAATATTAGTATTTGGCTTTTGACTTATTTTCATTGTTAAGTATGAAAAAGATTTATAATTTTCTTATCTTTGAAAAAAATTTATCTTTGAAAAAAATGGCCGTAACTATTTAATAGTAATTATAACTTATATTTAAACATGATGACTAAACAAGAATTTGTACTTTTAATATGATTTATATTTAATTTGATATGACTTATATCGTTAAGAAACGTAATTATGTTGTATTTATTGACAAATTGTAAAAAAAGAAAAACAGAAAAACAATTTATAATGCATATTGATATGATACTATAATTGCTTCTAGATTTTAAACTAAAGATTTATAAATAGTTGGTTTATACGATACATTTGAATTGTTCGATTAGTTTGAAAAAACAATATTAAATAGTAATATTTGTTTCCATTATACAACATGATTTTATTCAAGAAAATTAAATTTTTGTTATGAATGAAAATGATGTGTCATATTATTATGTTATTTCAATGAACCAAATTTAAGCCAAAAAAATAAAAATAAATAAAATATTTTTGTATATTAAAATATTTTTGATTAAAAAATATTTTATTATTTTATATATAATTGTTTTTAAAAAATAAGTAAAGTTTCTTTTTTTGTACATATATGGAACTTTTCCATTAAATATATATACAGGGTGTCTCAGAACTTTGGTACACGGGCTCCGTAGGGATATAGAGCTAAGTGAAAGGAACGAAAAAGTCCTGTGCCACATATATATATATATATATTAACCTTTATGAAATTCAAATATTTTTATCACGTGAATTCGTTATTTTGCATTTAAAATTTAACTTTATAAGTTTGCTATTTTTCTAGTTTGCGTATTTAATATAATTCTATTTTATCACATTTAACGGAAAATCTAATCATGCATTTATAGGAAGTTTTCTGCAAAATTTTTCAAAATTTTTCTTATATTTTAAACTTCTAAATTCAGTTGTAGACAGTTGTGTTTTTCAAAATTCTCGCGAACAAAACAAAAAGATGTCTAATGTATGCAAACTGTAGAATTTTTACATCAGACAAATTTTTATATTAACAGACAGTTTGAGATTTCAATTTCAAAATTTTTATTGCTTTCATCGTGTATTGAGCAATGTTTAAATTCATCTTCAAACATATTTTCTTTGTGAAAATGTATTTTTAATTCTGTGCAATCAATATGACATACATTATGTAGAAAAAATCAATATATTGTCGGTAAAGTTTCAAAGTATGACATTCCCTTAAGGATTTACATCATTGGTAGCGTGGAATCATAAATGCTTTTATACAATGGAGGTACGTTAAAAAATAAATTGGAACATTACTCAATATGTGATGAAAACGTTAAAAATTTTAAGATATATAATATCCATTTTTTTTATTAACAATATTGCAACTATTCGTTCGAGTATCTCTTTTACAAATCAATGGACACACGTATACATACACTTTTTTGTTTACAAAGATCGATACTATGATCTCTTAGAATGTTGACAATTCTTCCGAGGCGTACTGCATATGTACAACAAATATGGGTATCTGCACAGGAAATACGAACAGAGTAGCATGATTGCGTTAATTTTCTCGATATAATGTTTTCATAATTGCCTATATATTATCGACATTTTCAAAGTTCATCATCTGCTGTGCATAACCTTAACAAGCAAACAAGAAATTACTTTCCTATCAGTTTTATCACTATTTATAATACACACCTATAGCTTGGCAATATTGTCATGTGCAAAAAATCTGTCGCGACATCGTTTCATTCGAAAAAGACACCTTATCGTTATCTGGTACAGTTGTTCTGCTATCTCGAGTATCTTTGATATGAGAATTCGTACACATACATACTCACAGTGTATACTTTGCTCGTTTAACGTGCACTTGCGGATCGCATCCACTATCAACTGCCATTGCATCGTTAAGCTTCTCTATTTTATAACGAGGAGCGCGTCGATTAATTTGCGACTATCGGTATGCTTGCCGTCGCAACCATGACTCGCTTATGCAAATGCAACTATAGATAAGCCGGCCGCTTTCCTTATCGTTATTCGCAGTAATACTTAGAGGACATTCGAAAACCCAACAATAAATGACGATTGGAAGAATGAAAAACAGTATGAAAACATAAATCTATAACAACCGTCCCCCCTTGAAAAAGGTTAGCCAAACTTCGGCACTCTTTCTACTCTTCCTAAGGATGAAAAAAGTCATATAAACAAATGTTTATATGAAACATTTCCTTTCCGAGATACACTTTTTTGTTTATGATTGAGTATTGTAGGAATGTTTAAGGCTTACTCGAAGAAATTGCTGGAAATGATTTCCTTTACATCGACGTTGCAGAGACGTTCTATCGAAGACGTTGAAAAATTTCTAGTCTATTCGGAATTTTGTTACATGCGGCAATAATCCTTTTTTTCCAGACTATTAATAGAATTATTATCATGGACTAAAGTTTTAAGATGTCCCCACAAATAAAAATCTAAAGGAGTCAAGTTAGGAGAGCATACAGGCCAGGTAATTGGTCCTCCTCTGTCAATTCACCGATTGGTGTAATTGGTGTAATTAAGATATTCTCTAGTAGGTCGACTAAAATGGGCCGGAGCTCCATTATGCATAAACCATATTCGAGTGCGTGTTACCAATGGTACATCTTGTAACAGTGTAGAAAGTTCAGTTTCCAAAAATTGCGTATAATCTCTACCGTTGAGTGTAAATGGAAGAAAAACTGGTCCAATAAGCATGTCTCCAATAATTCCAGCCCACACGTTGCATGAAAATTGGTGTTGGTGTCGAGATTGATTAACAGCATGCGGATTTTCATATGTCCACAGATGTTGATTGTGAAAATTTACAATAGCGTCTTGTGTAAATTTTATTCCATCTGTGAAAAGCACAGACACTTCGAAATGTTATGCACTGTTGCAGATATCATTGACAAAAAATTACTCGTGATTGATAACCCACTGGTAGCAGTTCTTGTATTCATTGCTACAACATATGCTGTCGACAAAAGTGTATCTCGACGATGCGAAGCATGTTAATTAAACTTCATACATTCCTACAATACTCTATCATAGGCAAAAAATATTTATCCTCGGAAAAGAAGAGTTTCCGGACTTATGTTCATATGAACTTTTTTCATTCTTAGGAAGAGTAGAATATGGTTTGGCCACCTTCTCAGGTATCAGCCTGTATAGAATGAAACCGATAATGCGGCGTTTACTAACTAACTTGCGCATTCCTCAGAAATTAGGAACGTCATTATCCGTACTTACTATGGACGTAAACGAATATCGAGTAAAAACGTAATCGTGCCTTTTAACAAATCGTGGCTATTAACGAGGCCAAAGAGACGCAACAAGATCTATTTATAGTGCGCATCGACGATGCGAGGGCCTTTGAACGTTAAGATAAATTAGTTGCAGAAACGACGACGAACGATGTAAACGAGTTCGTCCATGACCGTTGCTTCCGTGTCGCTACGCGATCTTTTACGCGATCGGTCGGACAGAGCCTCTGCCATCGTGTTTCCGACTTTTTAAAATAATATTTGCTTGTTTTTCTTCCTCATCTACGGAGACAATGTTCTATTGTTTTAATTGATCGATAATAACGAGGAAACGAAATAGAAGACAGCAATTATCGAGAGACAATTGTTTGTTTAAGAAACTCGTTACAGTGACTCGTCATATTGAGGCATCCAATTAACTTTCTGACCTGTATAATTGCCCGAGTAACTCCGTGACTGACGACCGGTGACATACTTACGAGCACCAACATTGGACGGGCAGATCGTTTTATTTCTGGTAATGGACCGATTTTATTTTCAGAAATCGTCGCAATTGGGACATTTAAATTTGATGTAATATCGATTCGATACTGCGGCCGGCTACCGTTGCACTCAAATATCGCAGATACACCGAGTTTCAGTAAAGTTTTAACATTTACCAGACCTACTTTATTAGTTTTTCCAATCTCATCATCAAATACAGGGTGATCCAAAATTCCCACATTCGGAGTACAGGACATGATATTTTATGCTAAAACAAACAACTTTTTTATTTAGCAAAATTGCGTCCGCGTAGCCGAGTAGTTTTTGCAGGAGAGCGTATTAAAGTTAACGAATAACCGCTCTTGTCTGTGTAGCACTCAGGGTCGGCGCGCGCACTTCATACTCGCGTGTACCTAGTCAGTGATTAGTATTCATAAGTAATGCCTTTTAAGACACTCTGTTGTGATTAGTTTACGACATCTTAAGACTGTACTTAAGACAATCTTAAATAATAATCTATTATAAACAATATCGGGATTTCACAACTCGCAAAGCATATTACTATTTACATTTATTTTTATTTTCAGATGATATTGTGCAATTTTTTATTCATTTATTACGTAAGAAATATAAAGACAGTACTTATTTTATTAACTTTCCATTATTTAAGCAATATAATACGGAAGAAAGTCAAATCTCGACATTGTTCGTAGTTGATTCTTATTATTTAAGATTGTCTTAAGTACAATTTTAAGGTGTCGTAAATTAATCATAACAAAGCCATATGAGCGTCTTAAAAGACATTACTTATGAATATTAATCACTGACTAGGTACACGCGAGTGAGGTGTGCGCGCCGACCTTGAATGCTACACAGACAAGAGCGGTTATTCGTTAACTTTAACACGCCCTTCTGCAAAAATTACTTATTGGACGCAATTTTACTTAAGGAAAAAGTTGTTTGTTTTAGCATAAAATATCATGTCTTGTACTCCAAGTGCGAGAATTTCAAATCACTCTGTATAATCAGGACCGGCAGTTGCTTTTTGAAAGTCGTTTGTTATCGTTATTCATTTTGAAAAATATTCATATGATATCGTTATTCATTTCGAAAAATAACTTGTTGCCGTATAAAAATGAGAGACAATAAAACTATCTGCACATTTGTCAGTAAGTTTGATTTAAGTAGAGCCTCTTTTTACATATTACACGCGTTTGTTACATGATCAATAGTTACTTATAATTTGTATCTATTTCAACTAAAAATAATTACGTTAAAATAGTTACGTTGATTAAACGTTATGATAATATAATTTGTGTCTGCGCGTTTATAATACTTTATAAACATATGCGCATTAGATCCGACTAGTTCTCATTGTCTTTTATTTTTGTTTGACTTCAATCTAAGTTTTACAATTATTTATTTGAGATTAATTCGTTATTCAAGAAATAACGAGATGTTATAATTTTCATTATTTTTCTTCATTGAACTTTAAAGACTTGTTTTTGCGATCTGCTACCATCTATTCCACGCAGAAAAAAGGTTTTGTTGAATTAACAAAATACCAATAACCGCATGGTTATGTGGTTTATTAATATAGGACGGTAAATGATTCCATTGTGATAACAAATGATTTGTTACTTATGATTTATCGCTCCAACCAACAATTTTATAATGGGAACAAATGTGTTGCATCTCTAACAGTGTATATTTGTTAAAATTATAAATAATGAAAAATTATTTGTTGCAGTAACTGTTTGATTTGTCCCCCGTATAATTATCAAACAATTAGCAAACGTTCATTTCTTGTGACAACAGAAGTCTTTTTCTCAGTACATATAGTCCGTTGAAGAATGATTTTGACATATCTTCTTCTAATAAAATTATGAATATTCCAACTTGTCGCAATTGCAAACCATTTGTTCACAAGCATTTACTCAGCTTTTTGTTGATTCTTATTCGATAAAAAATCAGAAGATAAATATATTTATGTACCTCATAAATCTTTCGTTGTAGTTATGACGCCGAATATCTCACATATCGTTTATTTCTTATTATTTCTTATATACGTTTTGTTTCTTTTACGATAGAAATCGTTTATTGCGTAAACTCAGCAGTGATCCGCAATTGCAACATCTTAGAGTGATCTTCTAATATCATTAGAAAAAATTTAACCTTTTGCACTCAGATATTCCCTCTGAGGGGACATCATAAGTCTAGCAAATCACTTTCAGGGGACATAAAGACTTTATTAGTGGTTGTACAAAATAAATTTATGCGAGTGCAAATTTTTCAGAAATACGTTCAGAAATATGTTTTCTTAAAGTTTTCATTCAAATGTCACGAAAAATCGAATCAAAATATGATATACAGGGTGTCCCATTAAAAAAAAATACCTCAATAAGCTTCTTCAACGAAGTATTTTCAGCAAAAATGTTTCGGATAAAAGTTGATTTCAAGGGGGACATAAAACAACTATACTATTTTGTTTACAAATAGCACCACTTTCGAGATATTCACTGATCATTACTTTTCTTAAATGGAAACCCCAATTTTTTATCACACCGTCTTTTTTACCAATTAATTTAAACAACTTTTGTCTGAAACATTTTTTCATTTGCCTAATATTTTTTGAGATATGTAAGGAAAACTTGATAACTTTTTCAATATTTAACTCATGATATCTCGCAAACCATTTGTCGAAAGAAAAAATGGTACTATACTTTTTTGTTCTACTTGGTCTCAAGAATATATTGTT